GAGAGCTAACCACTGTGCCACTGTGCCATCCTAATCAAGTATTATTTCAAACTTTTTTCACTCATGGTCATGAATCATGCAATCATATCTTAGGTGCAATTAATGTCTTCAGTGTTGCACAGGGCCAATGGTTAGAGTGCCTAGCTCACAAACTCTCTTTCATTACCTTAATCAAGTTGTTTAGTTCAGTTCCTCCATCGATCTCCAGAGACCAGAGCTCCTCTATCAACTCCTCTACCAACAGGAGCTGATATTCAGAGGGATTTGACCTGCAAAACACAGATTTTCTACACAGGAGAGTGTTGTTAATCTACATACACTACACACCCCAAGAGACTAATTAGCTCTTTAAAGGATTTAGCCTGACCTCCACCAAAGTAAATGTAGCATTATCACGTCATGAAATGACCAGGTAACCCCTTGTAGCTTGTAACATGACACATTGTATGGCGGTGCGTTGGAGAACTTGGGAAGGATCTCATGAGGTGCAAAAACTGGACCCAATTCAGTGCAGCTGAAAAACATTTTCCTTGGCAATTTGAAGAGAATTGCTGAAATTCTGCAATTGATCTGGATGGATTATCCCTCAACAGAGAGGTTCTTATCCCATAAGCCAGAGCAATAGGAACATATTTTGCCTGGGAATGATCCTATTATCCCCTAGAAAGAGGCTTATTTCTCCATTACTCATCGCATTGCTCTAGTCAATGCCTACTCGCAGCAGGGCTCTGCAGCAGCAGGCCAGCAGGGCAGCCCTCACCGCCCTCCTGCACCCTGGGCGCCCGTCTGAAAGATCTCAGACAAGCACGTTGAGCTACATGGCCAGCTAGGTTGGTCCAGAGTCTTGTGAGTCCGTGTTCTCAGTCCTCAGTGCACCTGCTCTGACTTCCGCTTGGGAGTGTTACCATGGTACCCGTGGAGACTCTGAGCCCCGTGTAAGACTCCCTCCGTCACCTACAGTAAGTGAGAGCAGCTGCTGCTCTGTTTGTCGCTAGCTTGCATTGATGCGGAGAACAGAGGCTCAGAGGTATGTTCAGGATGACACTTACCACGTCACTGACAGAGATAAGCTGGAACCAAGAATCTTAACCTCTGGACCACCTCTTCTTCAAAAAAGGTGCCTCAGAGCCATGATGTTTACTGGTACTAGGGTTGGTAAATTAATCTGCTGGCAGGTGGAATTGCTTTAGATCTTAATGTCCTGCCCATTTTCTGCTCCTGCGATGAATCTTTCATGTGTGCTTGTTCGTGTGCGTGTCAAGGCTTTGCAAATGAGATAATTAGTATTGACATCTGCATAATGGTGCCATGTGTGCTTCAAGCAAAATGAAATTACATGCTAACACAGGTACAGCTTTAGTAGCAGACAGAAAATAAGCTCTTTGTGGTACTGTGATAACATCTCAATCAGAGGGGAGAAGAGCTGGGGGGAGTTGGTGTTCTCTGTCATTTCTGAAATTGCAGATCCCTGCTGGATGTCAGTGTTTCCTTGTTCAGCGCAGCCCGCAGAGACCTGCACTCCTTCCATAGAGATCAAGCATAACGATTCTGATCTGGCAGCCTGGCATTCTGCGTGTGGACAGCAGGTTGTTAAGAAATAATGGTTAAGTTCACACTTCTGCCAAAATCTTAGTGTGGCTACTTTCCCTTTCAGGCCTGCAACGGTTTGGACAATCTACGTCTTCATCAGCAGCACATTTTCCATCCTTACGGCTTGTTTCCCCCTTGTTTTATCTGCCTTCTCCTCCCAGAATTCCTTTGCTATCTTACCTGGAGACAAATGGGACTGTTGTGTGTGAGAAGGGGCTGCAGGCTGCCTAGTGGAACATTTACAAGGGGGTGAAGAAACAGCAAGAGGCTGAATTGTCTTCAACTTAGAGATCTGCACATTTTGCAGAAACATGTTTTGGTCTTTCGAGCACCGATGCACAAAGTGTTTGCTTGCATCAGACCCCTGGAACCCTGGCAGTTCTGTGTGTGGAAATGGACATTGAGCAGAGTGGGACAGTCAGTGTTGTAACTAAGTCCAGGATCGGGGGGGTTACAATTGATTAATTGGGATAAACTGATGCATCAGTGTTCCTGTGTATTGACTGTACATTTTAGTCTCGTTTTGTAATCAGAAAAGTATGACTGTTCTAATATAAGATGATTGTACAGCTGATTCAGGACTAAGGAATAAGACATGGAGAGTCACTTACACATGAAGTTTTGGATTAGTCTAATTTCCCCCCTCAGAGGGCCAATGGTGGCATGTTGGTCAAGTTTAAGTGTTAATCACCTCAATCCTAAGGCCACTGAATGATGGAGTTTTATCAGCTTTTCAGATAAACATGAGGAATACTTGATCAAAAAGCACACAAGAGAAAGCCCATAGATGTGCAGGATTTTACAATCTGCTGTTTTTATGGATTGCGCTCTTATGTGCATTTTTTCTTTATCTAAAAAAACGGTGTTTTGGATACCAAGTATCAGCCTCAATCATGCCCTTAAGGCATCAGAGGGGTGCAGTTGGCAAAGCTCTCCTCATTCCGTGCCAAAACAAGCCTGGCTGCCAAATTCCGAGCAGCTGAATACAAATCCTGGTGGCACTGATATGGAAGACCTGGAGTCATTCCTGAGGCTGAGCTGAAACCCTGCTTTTCCTTGAAAAGTCCAAAAGCTACAACAGTAGCAGCTGGCAGTCCTTGACATCAGCAGTTGTACAGGCTGCAAAGGAACAAGTAAAGGTTTATTCCAAGCTGAAAAGAGAAGAGAAACTGTTTCAGGTTTCAGTCACCTGAAGAAGGCTCCACAGCTGAAACGTTGTGTTTCTTTTCTGCTCTTTTCAGCATGGAATAAACCTTTACTTGTTCCTTTGCAGCCTACGCATGCTGACACAGCTCCCTGCTTGAACTACTTCAGCTGTACAGGTTGTTGTGCTGGGATTACATGTGGCACGATCTGAGGTGGCTGTTCTGTAAGCAGTCTGACACACAAACAACACAAATGTCACTCATGCAAACTCCAGCAGCAGAGGAGTGACTGTAGCCCAGAACGGCCACAGTAGCAGTGTGAGTTAATCCTTAATCCATTGTCATTCCGTTTCCATGTCTGAATATCCAATATTTCTATCCTAGAAATTCTCGTCTGTAGAACGTCCTCTAGACAGGCAAGCAGAAATTCAGTGAAGGGTCACAGAAGGTGTCCTGGCGCTCATTACTGGAGTAAACCCAGGGCCTCTGCTGGGAGATCACTGTGACGCTGTCGGCCCACTGCTCCGCGTGGCTTGGCTGGACTCCAGCTCGCGCCGGGGCCCAGCACAATCTTTTCCTTTGTCTGCTCCCCATTCTCTCAGCTTCCCCCCATCCCTCTGGCAGCGCAGCTGAGCCTGGGCATCTGCCCCAGATGCAGCGCCAGCAAGTGGGCAGCGCAGGGCCTCCTCTCTAATCTGACCTTCACAGTGAAGAACGGAGCATGCAGACCCATGAGTGCCTCCCGTGAAGGGCAGGGAAGCAGGTATTTCACTGTCTGGTGCTCCACAGGATGTCCTGCTGGCTCAGGGAAAGGAGTCAGGTGTTGGGCCTGCAAGTGAAGAGTTTTGTATCAGTCCAATTTCCCCCTGCATCTTCTTCTGTTGGACGGACTTTGACAAGATGCATCCTCATTACATTGAATCACATTTTATAATAATAATGAATAATTGTTTACACTTATATGGCTATGGCGCTTTTCTGGACACTCCACTCAAAGAGCTTTACAGGTAATGGGGATCCTCTCCACCACCACCAATGTGCAATATCCACCTGGACGAAGCGACGGCAGCCATAGTGCGCCAGAACGCTCCCCACACACCAGCTCTCAGTGGGGAGGAGAGCAGAGTGATGAAGCCAATTCATAGATGGGGATTATTAGGAGGCCATGATTGGTAAGGGCCAATGGGAAATTTGGCCAGGACCCTGGGGTTACACCCCTACTTTTTTCGAGAAATGCCCTGGGATTTTTAATGACCACAGAGAGTCAGGACCTCAGTTTTACGTCTGTTCCAAAGGACAGCGTCTGTTTACAGTATAGTGTCCCCATCTCTATACTGGGGCATTAGGACCCACATGGATCGCAGGATGAGCGCCACTAATGGCCCCACTAACAACACCTCTTCCAGCAGCAACCTTTTTTCACAGGAGGTCTCCCATCCAGGTGCTGACCAGGCTCACACCTGCTTAGCTTCAGTGGGCTGCCACTTGTGAGTTGCAGGGTGATATGGGTGCTGGCAAATGTATTACATACATTTTGTATGTAATAACACGCAAGATTCACAGGGCTAATGCTTAATAAGAACATCACTTTTGCCGTTTCTGTTTGGAGAGTCTTCTAGGCAGTGGTACAGTGTGTGTCTCCGGGGAGCAGGGCCTTGTTTTTTTTATCATGTAGACACGTTGGCAAGATCGCACAGCCTTTTGTTGCACCAACACGTTAGCAAAGCCACTGGCATGCTGAGCATTTTTGGGAAAGGGGATACAGGAAGCAGGAGTCAGACTCGCTCTGGGCAGAGTTAGCTGGCTGGTTGTGTAGCTCAACAGCCTTGCACGCACGCCCCCGCTCGAGAAGAGAATTAAGGAGCGAGTCGGGGCTCACGGTCTTTCCTTGCTTGGATCCAAACAGACACGGAACTGCTCTTCTGAGGTTTAATGTAAGAGCCCCCTCCCGCCCCCAAAGAATGAAATGTAGTTAATCCAGCCTGAAATGTGGGACAGATGGGACATGTACTGCAAGAGGCGAGGATGTTCTGTTGAAGACTGAGCTGGCAAACAGCTGTTGACGTTCTGGGCCACACAGGGCCCTTACCGATGGGGGAAAGTGTGTTGTTCCAGCCCTGTGATTGTTTGGAGCAGCTGCAGGGGCTGCTCTGTGAGCCGCGCTGGCGCTGGGGTCCCGGACCTCCCAGACTTTGCTATATTTAGCCGCAGTCCTTCTTGGTGGTGCGTCAGAGTGCAGAGGCCTCAGACGTCGTCCAGCCACAACACTGGGTGGAGGTTTCATTTGCCCAGGAGGTCAAGTTGTCTCCCTATCTCTGCTCCCCCCCCCCAGATCCAGTGGAAAATGCTGCTAATACCTGGACTTCGTGTTGAACCTCTGGGCTCCCCTTACCCCTGAGTCATCAACCCCATTCGCTGTCTTCAGCCAATGGACAGCTGTCTGCGGGATTTCAGGTCTGAATCCATCAGGGATTTTATTTTCATGCTCTTTCTATTTGTAAATACATGGACGTTAAATGTTAAAGATTCTGTACCAGGCACTGGGGAGAGAGGGTGACTCAGAAAACCTGAAGTGGACCAGGCCTTAGCACCGGGAGTGTGGTGCTGACTCCAGGAGCGGACTGCTTGAGTGCAGAGCAGGAGGGACACGAGTGCCTCTGGCCTCCCCATCGTTTCAGATGTGTTTATTCTGATGCGCAGAACTGTAGGAGAATGACTGTCTAGTTTAGTGATTTAAATAATGACTTTTTATTTCTTGGCAATCTAAAGTTATAGATGGACAGGTGGAGTTTTCTATGTTGTTTACTATAGATTTTATCTATAGGTATGAATTTGTCAGATTCCTGAAGGCAGTTCACAGACTCTGACTCTCTCAGACTCTCATACTTGCTCATACCTTGCTCAGGCCCAAACTCAGTTCAAATTCTCTCACACTCAGCTCAGACTCTCAAACTCTTTCAGACTCTCTCAGGCTCGTTCAGGCTTGCTCGAACTTTCTCTGACTCTGCTCAGAGTGTCTCAGACTCTGTCTCTACACAGTTGCGCTTGATGTTGTCTGCAGAGGTGAAGCATATGCAGTCTCCACAGCTGGGAGACTCAGGGATAAACACTGCGGCTTGTCTTTGAGAGAACAGGCGCCTCTCCAGAGCCTGCAGACACCTGCAGACCAGATGGCAACGAGGAGCTCCTGCCCTGTCCGGCTGGCATATCTCTGCCCGCTTTGTGAGGAAGATGTGGATGAAGAGTGAGCCAGACAGTCCTAACATTTCAGAATCCCCTCACAGAATGTGGCAAAGCCCCCTGTCACTACAGGCCTTGTCCCACATGCTCAGACTGAGTGCAGCTGCTGTGTGGATCTGAGCGCCTTGGCTGTCAAGGTATAAATATGCAAGATAGCTGAACACACAAACAGTCCTTGTAGTCATGGCGACAGTAGTCAATGCACAGTAAACCCTTATTTGTGGCCTTGTGCATTAACTAAATAAACTATGCCTCGGGTGGTCTCTGACCTCAGCCACCCTCTTTCTTCTCCCTTTCAGGAGATCTCTAGGGGTCTCTGTTTCCACAGGGACTGCAGTTTTCTATCTCGTATTTTCAGCTTCATCGACTTAAAATCCTACGTCTCAAATACCAGAACAGGCTGCTGCTCGAAGATATCACCCCCCGCCAACACTGAAGCACTTGCAATAAGCAAACAGCGCACGTCTTCCCACTCAGAATGTCCAAGGACATCATCTAACAAAAGGGAAATTGCTGAAAATACTGAATCGTTTCAACAAGTTTAAAAGAACAGAGAGGGACATGAATAGATAGGGTCACGAACTGCAGACTCTGGGCTCTGTGCATTCCTGAATCTGGGCTCTGTTGAACTGAGGCTGGAAGCAAAGGGTGTCTGCCGTCTTTCTGGATGGTCTAGAAAACAAGAAATACTCAATTTCTTCTGGATTTCATTCCAACTGAGGTGTGAACCGTTTAATTAATCTACTTATTCACTTTTTGTGGTAAGGTATGCCACTGTCAAAAACAAATTCCTGGGTTAGGGGGAATCCTTCAAAAAGTGGCATGATTCAGGATTCAGGCCAATTGTCTACAGCTGACCAAACAAGTAAATTGGCGCAATGTCCTGCTTGTCATGTTCTAACTCTTCGCACCTTGTATCCAGCACATACTTAATCCTTCCTCTGAGCAAACCCACTGCTCAGTTTGGCCTAGTGGTGTAGTTTTGCTGAGGGTCCTCAGTTTGGTGGAGCTCAAGGCCAAGGTGTACACAGGTCAACACACTGCTGGACATATCCCTGAAGACTCCCTTCGCAAACCAACTGGGGAGGGAGTTCCTTTACGGCAGAACTAAAGCATCTACTGCCCAGGGTCGGAGAGCTGCCTGTGTATTCAGGGTAGTGAAGAATCACACTGAAGAGGCCACCAGAGCAGTGAATGAAACCTCCCCTCCTAATTATCTCTCATCCAACATTAACAACGACCTCCTTTTCAGTGGCTCCATATTAGACCTCACAAAGCTGATCAGAGTCAGAACTATTCCCGAGGATGAGCACTGCAGGGGAGAGAAGAGACTTCAAATTTTCTTTAGAAAAATAGAAAGTCAGAGGTTTCCCTAGAGTGAAGGAATAGCCCTTTAAATCTCCTCAAACAGCCTCTTGATATTAGGTAAGGCTGACACGAATGGCTCAGAACCACTCCAGCACAGTCTTGCACTGTTCTGCCCAACAGGCCAGGGATCAGCGCACTGCCCTGGTGGTATTTTTCACAAGGCACTCCAGAAGATTGAGCAACAGCTCTTTCCTGCTCACCCCTGAGCCCCAACCTTCGTGGGTACACTCCGGCCCAGCACCCCCTCAGGCACGTGTGCAAACAGGGGTGCAGGCCAGAAATACAGTGAATCTCTCTGCCCAGGGCTCGCCACCCTCATGGCCACTGAGCCATGCAGACACAATCTCTTCTCTTATTTCGAACAAGGGGCTAACGACACCGACTGAGTCACGAACTGCATTTTGAACCTCTTTCATCTGCTCCCTTTTCCCCCAAAAGAAACTCAACACATTTCTTACATGATGCGTTTTTTTTAAAAAAAATTCCTAGCTAAACGGAGTGTTGCTCTAGCCCCCTGCTCGCAGCAGAAATGCTGGCTGTTTTGCCCCAACCCTGAGACAGAAATGCTGGGAGTGTTGCCCCAACCTCCTGCCTGCAGCAGGAATGCTGGGAGTGTTGCCCCACTCTTTCAATCCTGCTGCCAAGCCTTTTCTCAGAATAGAGGGCATTCTTGTTCTTCCCTTTTCTGAAAAGGAGAGACACGAAGAAATTCATCAGGGGGTAGGTTCACATGGGCACGTTGTCTGGCCAGGCTCGAACCCCAGCCGACTGTCTGCTGTCTCAGGTCTTGTGGGAAGGGCTGGCCTGCCTGCAGAATGAGCTGCAGAGCCCAGATAAGTCCAGGTCAAACCCATGCTGTGTCCCATTCTGGTGTTCTGTCTGGAGCCAGTAACAGTGTCACCGGACTGGAACAAAGTTTCTGAAAACGTACCAGAGTGGACTTGCCTGCTGTATTCCGTTTCCTCATGTATTCACGTAGGATTGTAATGATTTCTAACAGCTCACACCTGCAGTCCCACCTTGTGGACCCACAACAGCAACAGGGAGACAGTTGAGCTGGCTTGCTCTGCCTGAGGCATCTCCAGTCAGCCACCACCCTTTGTGTAAAGAAGTGATTCCCATTCCCAGTTCTAAGAGGAGGCCCCAGAGAGCAGTCTGTTAGACAGGCATTACATGGAAAAGAATTAAAGATTTCAGTTTTATTTCATTATAAAATTACTTTGTACATCAGAGTAAAAGTTTTCCAATCTTATAACATGAAACAATACAGCTTTAAATAGAAGAATAAAAAAACTGCAGCTCTACAATGTTTAAGGCACTTTTTACAGAAGAAATCTTGTAGGCTTAATGTCTTGCATAAAATACATAAAAAGTCACACAGCTTGGTATATGATGATTAAAAATGGTATAAAAGCAATTACATATTCAGGTTCATAGGTAATAAAATGCTGAGAGTTACACAGGCTGGAAAACAGAAGCAATACGCTTATGTGTCTGTATTAACATGTGACGGGAGGCCCTGTATTAGCCAGGCACACAGCTGCGCATCTGTATATCTGCCCCGACGACAGTCTCTCTTCTGCCTTTTGCATCAGCAGGGAGCAGCTTGTGAAGTCAAACAGGAAGAAGAGAGGCAAACCAATGACGAATCCTGCACTTCGGGAAGGAGAAAAAGACAGTTCAAATACTGGACTAAACTCGGAGCGAACAAATGAATCCGAAAAAATCAGGTCTTCTTGAGGATAAGAGAGAGCAGTGTTTTTCCAGAAAGGGCAATAATCTCTTAGAGGCTACTTTTAAAGGGAGCTGCAAAAACTGTATCTGGCTTCCCATAAGAAGACCAATGGTCTTCTTTTCATGCTTCATGCAAAGTTAAACTTTTGTTTTCTTGCCACTAAAAGGCATAACTGATCTTCCCTGAAGATATACCCAGTGCTTGGGTTTTTAAGGGAAATGCTGCTACCAGGTGAAGCAATGACCAAGGACAGCTGTAGTTCTATGTGTAGCAAGACACCCCACAACCCTGCACAACACCCGGAGAAAAGGAGCAGACGCTGGTGAGGCTGGCAGTGTGTTTGTTTCTTCAGTTATTCAGCTTGAATCCTTTGTGGTCGAACTGCCTCCAGTTTCCAAGCAGGGACTGGAATCAACTCATTTTGAAACACCAAAAACATTCCTGAAGAGAAATAAACATACCCTCCATCTATCTGTGAGGAGGGATGGCTGACTGTTCGTGCCCTCTGTAATTATTCTGTGCTTCAATAACTGGGTTCAGATTTTTTCAGGATTATTCTCTTTTTTCTTGCTCTCTCCATTTTTGTCATGGGTGCATTAAATTATTTGTAATTGACACTAGCACCATTTTCCTAATGCTTAGAAAGGTTTTCAGCCACCCCACTAATCCTCCAATTTTATCAGAGACTCTTCTGATTAAATATATTTATTCCACTGTTGCTTGTGTATGGAGGCGTTTTAGACAGTAGCAGTGGAAAGTCTCATTAGTCTTTGCTTCTGACTTAAGATGTTCAGCAAATGTTCATCAGACCAATTGGTAGGGTGCCAGAGTATCGCATGACACGATGTTGCTGGCCTGATGAGACCAGCAAAAGTGCTGTTTTCATCTCTTCTAAATTGGTAGTTCTAATGGGAAGCCCACCTGAGGGTCAATGAGGTGGAAGCTGGAGGAGCTGGTCAGTGAGATGGAAGGGTAATTGGAGCTGTCTCATTTGCAGCGCCAGTCAAAAGCGTAGAAGAACCAGAAGCCCCGTGGTTTGGCTGCACGTCCTTTCCACTGGTGCACCCAAACCACACCACATCTCAAGCAGACCAAGCCCACTATTCACCCATGCCACGCCCACACCACACCTGCATCTCTCAGCCACCCTACTCCACGGGCTGCTGGAGACAGCATTGATTTACATCTTCAAGAAAATGGTCGGTCTGAAACATTACTCCTTTGTACTTTGCAAGTTTTGATATCTGTTTTTTACACGTTAAGGGTTTCTGTATTTTTTATGATGAATTTCAGTATCGGAAACTTAAAAACTGTGGCAGCAGCCGGCACCAGGACCCACCTTCTCTTCCTGGTTCCAGCCGCAGCAGCGCCATGGCAAACTAATTAACTAACTCCTGCCCCACCTGCTGCTGAGACAGCTGGAGCTTTCCGGTCTAAGAAAACAGCCAGTGAAAAACTGTCCGAAACCCAGAACCATGCTGAGTGGAGCCCAGTGAGAGAGGGTTACGGGTTCGAGAGCCACCTGCAGGGCTATGCTCAGTCTGCCTGCCCACAGCTTTGGTGCCCTATGGTTCACTCACACTCGTTGGGAATTAGCTATTAACATTAGCTGTTAACAAAAGGAAATATCTTTTTTCTCTCTTGGTTAGAAAGATTTAAAAGGAATAAAAAGCTTTTTTTACTAAAACCCCCTCAATCTCAAATGTTTAAAGAAGTGTGAAGTCGAGAAGGGACATGCTGGGCGGGACGTGCTTGATGGCCAGGACCGCAGCCTCACACAGGGCCTGATGCACAGCCGAGACTCGTTCACCACGATCCGGCGCGCAAACCCCAGCCCTCAGACCACAGAGAGCGGCCAGGTGTGCCTGGGAAGCTCCTGCCTTCGGGGTTATGGGATCTGGGAGATGTGTTATTCCAGAAGCTGGAAGAAAGTGGAGTTTATTTCGTTTCTTGTGTGCTTGGTGTCAGGTGCCCCAGGACCCACTGCCCAGGGCTCCAGGACGTCTCACGCTTCTGTTACGTCATTAACACTTCAGGCCCGCGCTGAGATACCGGCACCCAGTGGTTAGCTGCTGTTGCTTTCTCTAAGCATCAGAGTACTAAAAAGTAGGAAAACAAAAAATGTTGTCTTTCATACGACATCACCTTTGACTTGAATTGAAGCCATTTGTACACTCTTGCAATAAACGCATTCAGTGGCTATACTGTGCCTACTTGATAACTCTACAATGAAGCGCTATGAAGCAGCTGCAGACGTGAGGGCAGGAGTTAGAAGGGGTAGGGTCCCACGATGATGGTGAGCCGCAGGATGGAGCTGGAGCGGTAGTTCATCACCGTGTTGAACGTGATCATCTCCAGGTCGACGATGTGCTCCCTGGGTCCCGACAGCGGCTTGGTCATCACGAGCATCGCGCTGACGTTGCTGGATTGCTGGGGAGGACAGAGAGGGAGAAGAGCACAGGCCATCAGTCTTGCTCAGCCACGTCAGGGACACGACACCTTTTTGAGAGTGAACAGAGGAATCTGTGGGGGAGACTTTATGCAAGTATTAAAAATCCTCCCAGGTTCTTGACCAAGTCAAGCTCAGGAGCCCAGGTGAAACACCAGGGAGAACTGAGAGGCATTTACTGCTGAGCTTCTGTTTACACAAGGTTCTGGATGTCTTGAACAAAATGCAAAAACATCATTCAGGAAATCGTGATATCACTAAAATACTCACAATTGTCTTAACTCCTGTTATTTATACGCTTACTGTATTAATCTGGGATCACAATGTTATCTCACATTTCAGTGCCTGATTTCAAACCTGTAGATTTTACACAGTGGTATTACAGAACAACTTGCAACAACAAGTAAATAAATCATGTTTTCTAGGTGTCCAAAATACCAGCAAATAATATAAATGTGAATTAAAGCAGTTTGCAAGCAATGGAGAGCTTGCGAAATCACAGGATTGTAACCTCGAATCTGTGCCTCTGTCAGTTTTACATGAGTCCTACTACAGCTGAGCCATGTGTGGTCTGACCCAGCACCTCCTGGAGAAACAGTGTTTCCGTTCCGAGGTCATGACGTTTCGCAACAGCTAATGTGATTCTGTAAAGTCGCCATTAAAGTAAATGGGGAGAAAAGCTGGATAGAAAATGCAATTGATAAGAATGGAAACTGAGCTCTGGGCTATGGAAGAGCCCTGCTCCTGCATCCTCGCCTGGCAGTCCTGGGTCTGCAAACATATGCAGAGCACATTTGCAGAAAGATCAATAAACACGGTGCTGGGTGGCGCTGAAAGGTGGCCTTTGGAGGCTGAACAAGTCCTCATTGTGCTCCAGCCCTGTGTTGAGTGTTGGGCACACCTTCTGATACTAGGCTGTGCTGAAGTAGGATTCAAACTAAATCAGAATCCAGAACTCAAGCTCTTAGGTTTTACATTTAATTTCAGCTGGTCCTGGGCACTCAGTCCATCGTCACCCCCAGGGTGCTGGTTGGGGGCCTCCTGGCCCACCCCTCTTGCCCTCTCTCCTGCACCCCTCCTTTCTCTCCACATCCTCCAGCAGCCCTGTCTGGAACTGCAGGTCCTGCACTCAGCTCCTGCCCATTGCTCAGAGCTGCACATTGTGCTTTGTGTGCACTTTGTCCACGCAGAGGTCCAGCCAGGGCAATCAGCACTCATTATCCAGCTGCAGACCAACTCGAGCTGTTAAACGCGAGCTGGATTTGGGTAGCTGGGCACTTCCAGTGGGAAGCAGACGCGGAGGAGAGGGTGTAGTTTGCTAAGGGCTTGGCTAATGCTCACTGCTGAGGGAGAGTGTGCAGCTTGAGCAGACGTTCAGATCTCACCCGCAGAAAGAACTCCCCTCCTTCGTTGCCAGCCTTGATCCGGAAGGTGTTGATGGTGTTGGCGTAGATGTTGGTGGCCTGGATCTGGAAGATGTCCGCTGGGACGGACCTGTCTGAAGGAATGCTCATGTACTTGTACACGATGGAGTGCGGCAGGCCCCTGCACACGTTCGACGATGGACAGACACAACGACTGCAGGACACAAAAGAGAATTCATTTGAAAAATTCTAGTATAAAGAACGGGAATGAGTATTATCAATACGAACTTGTCAAGAAGATTTCTTGATCCAAGGCACCTGCAGTATGTAACTTGGTGTATCTGTGTGTCACAGCTGGACTGGGTGCATGTGAGCAAGTCGCAGCAGCCTATTTAGCCCGGGCAGGGCTGCGATGAAACACACAGACCTACAGATTCTTCTGACCTGCTGCTTCTAGCTTTGTACATACATTTGTGCTTTTGGCTTTATTTTTTTAAAGGCCTTGCCCCCACCTCTTCATGTATGATTAACTGAGGAGTGTAAACATGGAAACATGGAAACGCAGAGATGTCTGGTAAAAACCAGCTGCCCTTTTTTTTTGCCAGCTCCACACATTTTTGCACCGTCTCCGCGGACGCACTTACTTTTCTGCAGTTCTGACATACGGCTCCTGGCAGGGGTTCCTGGGATAGCACCTGAATCCCCCGTAGTAGTTCCAGCACTTCTCGTCTTCCCGGCAGTTGTGCCCCGAGTCGCACTCGTTAATGTCTGCACACGCGGAGAAAAGGTAATGAGGCAAAGTGGGTTTGAAAGTCAGACAGTGCAACGCGTCAGACACTCTGCACCCTGCGTCAGGGGGGCTGTGGGGTAAGAGTCTCAGGTGTGGCTCCCCACCCTGCTTCTGAGAGGCAGCAGAAGGGCCTGACTCTTTCACTTTATTAGGCCCAACTGCTCCTGGAGCCGGAGAGCACAGGACCTGTTACCTCAGAGCTCCTACTTGAATAGCAGGAGCCTCACTGGTCATCCAGAAATTCAGTGTGGGACACAGTGCTCCAAGGTGAAACAGTTTCAGCACTTATGTTAGTAGCCTCCTCAGAAGGCACTGACACAGCAGTTCTAGTTTCTTGCTTCTATTCCCTTGATCCCTTTCAACAGAGACATGACAACATTTCCCAGCTCTGCTGAGGCCATGTCTATGCTGCCCAGTCTGGTCAGGCTGGCTGTTCGCATGGGCAAGGGGCAGGACAATGAGAACACAGAGCCCCCTGGTTCTTCCAGTTTACGCCTGGGCCTGACTAGAACTGAGAGGGAAGAAAACCTCTCCAGCAGAAAGCAGAGCTCTCCAACACAGCGGCCACACTACGCTCTGCTCAGAGCCGGCCGACCCATCACCCTGCCCGGGCCGCCCTGCAGGCGTCTGCCTGCCCAGTGGACTCGTGAGCCTCCCAGGCTACCGGCAAACCACACAACAGTGTCAACAGGGAGCTCCAGTGTGCCAAGTGTTTTCTAAGGAAAAAAAATCTAAACCATTGTTTACTTTATAAGAAAAAAGAACCAAGTTGAATCTCAAGATTAGCAAGGCACACGTGTAAATGCAGCACAGCCAGGGCTGAGACGAAGCTGCCTTGTTGACTTTACCTGACTGCAGCAGCCTCCCCGGGCCAGCATGCCCACATTCTGCTATCCACACCTCTCCCAAACGCAACGCACCCCTCCCCCACTCCAGGAAAGCGCTCCCGGGCACAGGAGCCGCCCCACAGGACTCCTGCAGTATGTCAGCGGGAGGGAGGCCGGTACCTTGACACATTCTTGTTCCCTGCAGCTGGTATCCCTCTGGGCAGGAGCAGGAGTAGCCCCCGGGGGTGTTCACACACTGATATTGGCACATGTAGCTGGAGAAGCTGCACTCGTCGATGTCTGTAGGAAACCAGTGAGAGCAGAGTGACCCCTGGGCAGCGAGGGGAGACGGTGGCAGTGCAGGGCAGGCTGGGTAAGAGAGGTGTGTGATTTCCATGACTTTGAGCGCAGCGAGCCCACCAGGAGGAGCAGGTGGAGAGCCCTCCCTCACCTGCGCTCAGTAAAGGCCAGCACGGCCACAGCTGAAGCTGGACAACATCTCAAGGGTGGTTCACATTTCATTCAGCAGCTTTACATAAATCAGCCAGTGTTGGGATGGTTCCTGCTGGCAGAGACGGGGCTATTTCTGATGGATTCCTCAGTTCTCTTGTAAACAGAGAAGGGAAGCTCCTTAGATTAAGGCTCAGGAATAGATCCAGGAGAAAGACGTTGCTCAGTCCAGTCTCTGACTTTCAGTAACTTTCCTCGGGAACTATATATACTGTGTCTGATCTGTGCCTTAGCTATTGGGGCTGCATGCTAATGCATTTAAATGACCTTAGATGAGTCTGTGACACTTTCTCAGAAGCACTACAGTAATAGATGGTTCTCATTCACAACTGCAGTCTGCCCTACCTGTACAATCAGGACGCTGATGAGAAGAAGGGCAGACGGTGACGGACACTGACCTTGGCAGGATGCGGAGTCTCTGGCGAGCTCGTAGCCCTGGTCGCACTGGCACATGTAGGAGCCGATCATGTTGTAGCACTGGTGCTGGCACGGGTTGCTGACCTCACACTCGTTCACATCTGCAACACAAGCACCACAGCCGGCTGAAGGGCAGCGCCGCAGCGGCACCACGCCCCCGGCAGCCCGAGCCAGTCTGACACGAGGCACAGGCAGAGCTCAGGGGAAGGAAAGTCAGACCCTGCTGCTGCTCTGGGATAAGGGAAGTGAGCCACAAGCAACCCAAAGTACAAAACAGGAAATAAATCTCCTCTCTTTGTGACTTTACTTCTGTTCTTACTTATGTATGTCTCCGCAGAAATAAAGTTGCACAATTCTCCCAATGTCATGTCACCGTGGCACAGTGGGTAACACAGGTCCTGGGCTGGAATCCAGCTGGATATGTGTGGTGTTTGCATGTTAACCAGTATTAATGCTGGTTTTCTCTTAAGTGCTCCTGTTTCTTCCTACGGCCAAAAGATCTGCTGTGCAGGTTAACTGGCATCTCTAACCCCCCCCCCCACCACCACCACCACCACCATAGGGTGCTGTTGTAACAGACTGGTGTCCTGTGCAAACTGTGGCCCTGCCCTGCCCTCTGAGCCTGTCAGTGATGGGCTCTCCGCGGCCCCTGAAGGACAAGGCACCTGCTCAACACAGATAGACTCCTCCCTAGGTAAATAACAGAGGTCACGACTCGCACAACTTTTTAAAGACTCTACCCAGCACACCATTCAGAAATTATGAGGAGGCACACTGACAGCTGAAAGCATGAACACAGTTTTGGCTGATATTCATGAAGCAACAGTGCTGCGTACTCAATTCAACACCGTCTCCCTTTCCAAAGATAAAGGAACAGATTGCAGGCTTACCAGATTCATTGCTAACCCTGTGTAATGTGTATGACTAACACATTCAGTGGTTTATACACCTTTAAAGCTGTATAAAGATTTGTTCAACTGCAAGACAAGCGCAGCACAAATACACTTGTAGTTACGAGTTCCCTACTAAAACGAATTGCTTTACTCTCCACAGCAGATGCAGCCATGCTGATTTAGACTAGCGGAAGGCATGCTTTTTCTTAGAGGGACATGACAATATGACAAGAGGTTGAAATGGAAAAATAAACGTGGGGGGAGGGTCCCCTCTTTCATATTAAAAAAGAGCACTCGTCAGATCTCAAACAGGGGTCCAGAGTATTCATTAGTCAGAGAAACAAGCCCTTCAGCACTTCTTCTGTAAATATCTCACTTGGTCACAACCTCAATATGGCCAAATCAAACCAGAACTCTAACCGCAACACAGACCAACACAGACGCCCACATATCGCCCACAGCACACAAGCGCTCAGGTCCCCTTGTCTCTCTGAAATCAGCAGGTATCTTGTCTTGCCCTTGGAATCAGCTCGGACCAGCAGGAGAGGTGAGGGACAGCAGAAGTGCTCAGTTCTCGAACCGACGCAGTTCTCACTGGCAGTGCTGAAGGCCACAGGGTGGCCACACAACCAGAAGCCAAGGAAAGACTGACTGTCTTCAAACCGGTCAGTTCCAACGGCTGGCTGATCAGGGAGCCTCAGGCAAGGCTGGGTGACAGTACAGTCCTCGTTTTAGCAGCTGGCACTGCCTGGAGACATGAACTTTCACACTGCAGTCCCAATGAAAACACGGGCGCAAGAGTACAGCAGTTGTTTATAAGCCGTCAACACTAAAGATAGCAATTCAAAAGTTTAGAGTTTGCTGTTTCTCAATGTTCAAGACTAATTAAAAGAAAGAAAGTGTCACTGCCGGTTCATGACTGTAGGTACTGCATAACAGTTGCTTTACTTTTCTTAACAGTTTCTTCTCTAAGTTTCTTTAGAGAGGGCGCTCCAAAGGTTAGCTTTTGTTTTCAGAAGAGGAAATCCTGTTTTCCTGATGAATACACTGCGTGGTTGTTGGAAGCTTGAAATCACTGCAAAGTGTCTGCCCTCAATCTCTAACTCTTCTTTCCAGCCTAACAAATCTCTGTGGAACCCTGTATTGTCCTAGAAGGAGAGGAATTAATCTTTCCTACATGCTGAACAGCAGGTCACTTACCTATGCAAGTGTGATTGTTGCTTGCCAACTGAAAGCCTGTATTGCACATACAGAAATAGGAGCCAGGTGTGTTCACACACCTGTGCATGCAGTAACTCGGCCCAGCACACTCGTCTTTGTCTGTGGGGTGATATGGACCACAAAGCATTAAAACAGAGCAAGAGCAAGATATTACATAACTGCTCATTGGAAAATAAAATGAATTGCTGATAGGAGCAATCCTTGTAGCCCTGTAATAAAACAACTCAGTGGAGGTGCTCCTTTCTTCCCAGTACTGGGAATAACCTCTTGAACTTCGAACACGGCTCGCTTGGTGTTTCCCACTGCTGCAGTGCCCTTCCCCGGAATAGACAGCGTTTTGTTAGGTACTCACAGCGAGTCCTGTTGAGCCTGCTTGTGAAACACAACCCTCTGGCTGTGATGTAAGGAGTGACCTTTAAAACTCGCAGTGCTACTTGGGGGAGAGCTAATCACAGGGGGCTGTTATTGGTGAGCACTCAGGTAAGGAAGAGCTCAGCGGGTTTCAAATTTAAAAGCCAATGTACATGAGCTGGGAGCAAATACTGTTTTAATGACCCTGCCTTGTTAAAATCGTCTCAGTAGCAAAGTGAGTGACTCTTCTGATGTGTTGCCCATCAGCCGGGCTGATTGGAAGGATAAGACAGCACATGTGCAGCTCCGCTCCGAGCCAATCCAGCAGCAGGGGTTTGCTGTCCTTCTGCAATGTCCCTCCCGCTGCGCTGCGCAACACTCACCCACACACTGGTCCCCGGTCCTCTGATAGCCAGGGGAGCACTGGCAGGAGAAGGAGCCCCTCGTGTTGTAACACATCTGGTCTGGGCCACAGCTGTGAGCTCCCGTGCTACACTCGTCTACGTCTTCTCGGGAACAGACAGAAGCCAGAACAAACGAGCCAGGATTACCGCGCTGTTGTCCCTCTCCCCTCTCACCCCCTCCGGGGCGCCTCCTCAACAGCCCCTGTCCAGGCGGCACGTCCCCCGCCTCTCACCCGTTGTGCCGCCCTCCGTCTCCTGCACTGCTTCCTCTACAAGTCTTACTCTTCACAGCCGTGGGCCTGGAGAGTGTTTATGTGCAATGGGCTGCTTTTCTTTCGGTAACAAAGCCGTGGGAAAAGGGCACCGGTGAAGACATTTTCTGTTGAAGAGGTTCAGGTAATGCGCCATCAGTAGCAGGCGTGTCGATTATTTTGCCTTTTCAAATTTCCAAGAACTGAAGATGTCATAAAGCCCAGCACCAGATCCCCCTGGGCTGGTCCAGGGCAGGTAGAACACTGTGGGATCAGATCTTTCCATGTTTAAAAACAGTAAATCAACTGAGCTCTTATTTATCATGACGACATGGGGGAGAGACTCGCATTAAAACACAGCGATTGCCTGACTAAAAGCATCTTCAAATGGAAATAAACGTGATGTGGTACAGTGGTATCACTGGAACAGTGGCACAAAGATGATGCACATTCCAGTAAGAGCCAATTGAAAGACTGCTGGATGCACAGAGGTCCGGTTCTTCACCTAATGGTGAGGTGGAGAAGTGCATCTTAGTAAGACTTCATCAGCCTGGAAGGGAATGGAAGCTTAAGGCTGCTCAGGCACCAGTACTACCTCAGCACAGGTTACGGACACCATCATACAAATGAGTCCCAAGAAGAGTGACCAGATACATTAAAGGCTGTAAGAAACATACTACGCTTCAGTCTAAAGGAATTAAATCTATTGAGTCTTGAACTTGAGAAGATCATTAGAGGACCTGATCCAAGTATTCCAAATTCGGCCATTACAAAACTAATTGGCGAGTCTAAATTCATAGAAAAATATCTCCTTAGTCATTGACAGTCAACCTAGTTAACAGAAAACACAAACCAGGGGCAGAAATCTGAGAACAGGAGGCACCTCTCTACCCAAAGAGTAACAACAAGCTCCCCACCTCTGTAGCTGAGGCTGATACCCTGGTTTCTTTCAAGAAACAGCTGGATGAGATCTACCAGACTACCAAATGATCCTGAGGAGCCTAATGTCCTCCTCTCATTTAGAGCCTTTCTTATGTTTTTGTTTTGACAAAGCCCGTAAAGAAAGACAAGGTGTAATTTGCTCAGATAAAAGAAGAGGAGGTAGCTGCAATTAGACCTTGAAAGGCCCGGCAGGACCAGTCCCAGCGCACAATTCAGAGTCGCTCCTCCGCCACCCTGTGCACATGGGGGACTGCAAGGAGCCCAGGACTTTTGATGTGGCAGCAGGGTTATTTCAGAGCCTAATCCAAGATGAAAGAGGGAACGATTCAGGATATAAAACATATGCACCTGTATAAAGAGCTTGTCAGACTCTGCTTTGAAGGCTTTGAATAAAGCATTGGCTGATATGATCAGAGAGGGTTGAAATGAGGTGAAGGGCACCACAATGTTGATAATTTGTCTGCCAGCTGTACTCTACAGTATGTAGAAGGTTCATGTCTGTAGGGTTGGCTGCTTGATAGGATTGATAGGATTAGCACTGGGACATTAAATCTTTTTTACACCCAGCCCTCCAGTCACATGGCAGATGTTCTGTAAGTGGCTGTTAAGGCTAAATGCTGCACCTGACTCACAGTTCAGTAGCTCCAGCCAGAATCTACAAACCAGGTGTGTAGCTGCCATCTCAAAGCAATGCAATGCACAGATCGGTAGGATGCCTCGGAAAGCACCAAATTTATACTGTACGTTCAAAACACCCCAGACGTTTTGCACCTCTCCCAGAAACTGTGATCCTGCAGCATCTTTTTTTGGTCCCTCCTCAACAGTTTGTTAATCGTAGTGCAAAGTGCATTATCACTAGAATTACTGCCAGCTGTGCTCTGCCCAGAGAACGCAACACAGGCCGTGCTGCTTGGAAAAATCGGACGCTATTTACTCCATTATGGACAGAGCTGCTCTGAGGTCTGTGCTAGAGATAGTTTTGACATTTGTGTTGGGATGATACAGCCCATAAAAGATCACGCCATCATGCGTAATATTCAGGATTCTTCACCCTAATCATTTCTCATCAAGGGGTCATTATTCCACGCTTGCATTTGTTTTAACCATGATGCACAACAGACAAGCAGTCAAGCAACTAGTCACCACTGTAATCTAATCTGGAAACAAATTTAGGACCGTTTTAGTTATAAGAAAAAGTGCAGTAAATTGACCACTGATATCAAATTGCCACGAAATTATTCCTGCTCACGTTAGAGACGCTACAGTGGTTGGTCATGCAAACGACTCATAGTAACAATCATTCCAAAAGTTTCGTTTTGAGAGCACTGGAAAAAACCTCAAATCCACATTCTTCAACTCGTCTCAGTGCCTGGCATGCCAACCACACGCACCCCTTTCTTTTTTTAAACTAACACCAGATTATTCATTTTGATCACTCAGCAGGCAACAGAACCTAAAGTGTATTTTTCTCTCTGAGTGGTCTATCTTCCTGCTCTGAAGGAGAACTGTTAAACACCCCTGAGAGGACACCCCTTTGTGTCCAATGGGCACCCATGGGTGGTCTACCAGCAGCACAGAAAGTAAAAGAACCTCCGAAGAGGCCCATCAAAAGGATGCTTAGATTATTCAGATGAATACTGGAGTTGCAGGATCCAGTCAGTGGCATTCAAATCTACAAATACCACAAACACAGGAGTGAACTGATCTCAAGTGATCTAAATGGCTGACCCTCCACTCTGACCCCAAGCTTCTCTACCTCTCTGTGTGTCTCATGGAGAGCAAGTTGGGGTATGCGAAAAAAAGACAAAATGCCTAATACAAGACATTGTATACGTCCAATAAAGTGATCTTATCTAAGTACATGCCTGAGACAGAGCACGGTTACTCTGATGTAACTTGAGAAACCCATTCCCATCCTCACCTTTGTTTGTCCTTCTAACATGAGTTTCTGGTAGCCTGGTGGAACACATACAATACGGGATTATGTCATTTTGGCAAAGTGCCTTAACTGGAGCCTGGAGTCTGTGTAAACAAGTTCTCTTACAGGCAGCTCCACTTCCAGTTTGCAAACCCCGGCTGAACCCGGCTGGCTCCGGCCCAGGGGAAGCTGGAACTGGGCCGCTGGTAGCGCAAGCAGGGCCCCTGTGTGGTGTGGAAAAAATGACGAGGGCTCCCTTCATCCAGAGGCAAAGCCCATTTCCGATAGCCTCTCAGCCTCCTGTTCCAAATCTTCATGCTCAGCATAACAAAAATAACAATTGTTTGAAAACAGCAGCCACTTTTGCAATAACCCTTTCTTTCAGAACACACTTTTTCTCATCCAGGGTGCGCTACATTACTACAGCCGCCTACACTGTATGTCAGGGTGATGCTGGACCTGGGCACAGCATCCAGCTGTGGATTGTCCACTCAGGGCTGACGATTGTCCACTCAGCAGCTGTGTCCACTGCTGCGCACAGGGAGTCGCATGTGCAAGGATTTTGTGACAAAGTAACACAACCCAGCGACTGCACACCAAATCAGGAGGCAGGCAAGTATAATAGCTGAGACAGCCCAGATAGTGAAGACCTGACCCAGTACATCATACTGGTGATGCAAAGCAGCAAGCAACCTGTGCTGTAAGCAAGTCTGAAGCACAATTGTACTGACACATTTCTAAATCTTCAAAAATCAGGTTTTACAATGCGAGGAAGCATATAAGAATAGGAGATCTTATTTCAAAGAAGGCAGTTCATACTTTTGTTTTAAAGTTCCTTGGAAATATTGCCATAAGACCACTAAGTATCTGTAGAAAGATCCCAGTTAATAACACCTCCACTTTGTTTTGAGTACAAGTGGCAAAATACTAACAGGCTGAGCCGATCTCCAGGAAGTGGAAGGAGGACTGCTTCTCTTCAGCCCTTCTGACATGCAGGGCTGCACAAACCTGGTCTTGGGAAGAGTCCCCGAGTTTCTGTCTGATTGCCACTCCCTTAATCAAAATAATAATAATAATAATAAATCAGACCTTTTAAATGATGTCAGTTTTTAAACAGCTGGACATTGCAAATGCTAGTAGAAAACGTTCACAGCCAAAATATCTAATTAAGCAAATAATTAAGGTTCAATTAAGGTACAAAGACTTCAATTAAGATTTGAATCAAGTACATGGGTACTCAGCAGGATCTACACAGGATGCGAAGCTACAGCAACCAGAGCTGAAAACCCCCAACCTTAAATGCTGCCTACTTTGTTTTCTGGAAATCGCCAGGCAGGTGTTGGACACTGACTATTCCCTTCCAGAAACAAGTCACACCAGCTCCCCAGCAAGACTGGACCGCCTCAATCGCACCAAAGTCCATCTCCAGCTCCCCTGCAAGGCACACCGCATCCGAAAGCAGAGAGAAGAAGAGAGCAGCAGCTTCATGGTGGCCTCTGACCTCTGACCTCAATCGGATCAAACGCAGTTGTCTCCTAGCCAGCCTGTCCACTGAGGACCCCCGCACACATCCAGAAGAGAAACACAAAGACGCTTATTAAACCATAGTGTCGATATTCAGCAAAAACAAAATGCCAACATGCTGAAAAATATTTCCTCGAGTATCATGAGGTTGTGGAGAATTACAGAGCCAGAGTTTCAAGACTGTGGTTTGCCAAGCTCTTACTGTACAGCTGTCAGAGCCTCACACTCAGCTGCTCACAGGATGGAGACATTTACATTCGTATGCATAATAATATAAAAACTTAAGAATAAGATCAAATCAGATCACATAAGAATGAGAGGAGGCTATTTGACTCGACTAGCTTGTCTGGTTGCCAGTAGCTAATTGACCTGAAGTGCTTCCTGTTCCCAGCTTCAAACGCAGCCCCCATTAGTGTCCACCTGGACCCTCTGGTTTGTGTTTCACTACTCTTTCTGGGCTGACCTGGTCAGTGCCTTTCAGGAGTTTTTCACAGTCTTGTCTGTTAAAGACTAAAAATCCTTCAGAACCATCACAACGGGGCCCAGAGAATTCTGAAATATCAGATTACAAGGAGCAATATATTTTTGCTA